TGTATGACGTCATCCGCGCGCCGGACTGGATTTGTGACAGGCAGCCCGGGCCACAGGCGGCTACGCTCTACCCCTTCTATTCATTCTAGCTAATCTGAATCGTTCAATTCCATTTGGAGAGTGAGATCATCTGTGGTAGCAGCACTAGACATCTTCCAGGCATGTGAGGAAAACTAGCAGCAGTTCAGCGGACTGGATCAATGAACGGTAGCCGGCGCGCGCGGATGACATCATACACGGCCCGCTTTGTTTTAAAAAAATATATATGTAAAAAATATAACAGCGGATGTCTGGGGGACAGTGATTGGCCTACATGTTATGTATGCTGGCGCACCATAAAGAATAAATGATGAACAGTTTAGTTTGTGCCTTAATCTCCGGAACGGCTCCAAATGACAAAAAACTCATTGGTGAGTTGAACATGATGTAATAACGTAAAATCAAGGGCCCAAAGTAAAAAAAACTGGCGTTCCCCTTTAATGACAGTTGTTAATTTATTCTATCCATATGGGCTATCTGATCACAATATTCTACATCATTCTTTGTTAGCAGAATACCAGAGTAGAATGTGTCGTTTCTGTTTGCGCTTTAGAACAGCTCTGTATATAAGTAACGTTATATGATATTTGATATTTCTAGTATCATTTTATAACTTTCTGCTGCTTCAAGAAATTACTTAGACAAACTTTATTGTTTTGTTTACACAGAGTGTATACAAAACTAAATTTGGTTACATACAGCTTTCCGACAGAAAATGAGCAGCAGCTTAGCAGAGAAAATGAACATTTCCATTTTATAAAGTTCAGCAGTGATGAAAATGTAAACAGTGGAGGAGAAACAGTATGCAAAAGGCATTGATATGGGAGGTTCAGAGCAGTGCAAAAACAAATAAATAGATATGGTGCAAAATGCATTAGAAATATAACTACAGATGGGAAGGTTTTGTTGTAAACAATTCCAAATTTAAGGTGTAAAAACAGCCTTTACTCCACTATAGCAACTGCATCTCTTTGTATTGATACAATCGGCTTATTATATCAGTGTAGCTGTATTTATCATTCCTAACAGTTGGTGTGTGTTTCTGCAGGAGTGCAGGATGGAATGGAAATAGATGCATTTTTTTTGCTTATTTGGACTTTCACAACTTCCCTAAAGGCTTTGTAGCATTTAGGCAACATCAGTAAACTTTGAGAGCCTCACCCACCACCGCACACACATTTTGAAACTGTAATATGTTTCTACGAACCGTGGGAGCGTTGCTTTCACCACAGGTTGTGCTAGCTTCATCGGTGTGAACTACTGCCTTAAGGTGAGCTTTTGTTTTGTTTCCCATCTGCTCAAGAAAATGACTTAGATTTGAGTTGTAAGCGTTAATTGTTCAGTGATTGATAGTATAAGCTGTGGTATAAATATCTTTGAGCAGTTTTAAAGCTGAAGGACAGAAAAAGACTTTTAGCCCTTATTAGTTGAACTATTAAAAAAAGAAGATAAAGAATAAGGAAAATCAAACCTTAGAAGGCTTATTACTGCACCAGAATCCAGCTTTTGAAGTTGATCAGGGTGGTGTGAACCCAATCCACGACCCGGTACTGGACCAGAGAACCGTACCCTGGCACGGCTACAGCTGTCAGTTTTGGCACGGTTTATCTGGACCTTGATGGTTTGCTTGCAATGTGAATGCATGCCTGCCGTAGCTTAAATAACTGGTTCCCATCGTTTTTTCTACTTGTATACGCCTTTAGGCATTTTATCTTAACACGAGTATCCTTCCTCAGTCAAAAGTATTGATGATTCTCCAAAAGTGGAACGTACACTAACTAGTAAGGAATCAAAATAAATACAAATAAAATCATACCATAAATTAGCCTTTATAAAACTGGAGCTTCTCGGAGGATTTTTACCACTTGCCCTTTGGGCAAGTGACTTTCACATTTCATTTGCCCAGAAACAATTTTTACCTGCCCAGTATAATGTTTGATAAATATAGTTCCTAATATTCATTTATATATATATTTATATCAATGAAACATGTTTGTTTTTTAAATGTTTTTTGTAATTCAGTATTTTTTAAGTTTCCAGGTTCCTGGTGTGTATATGCATGCGTCAGATAATGAACTCAAGCCTACATTACCGTGTTAACATGCTTTTCAATCCTTCCTGCACATTCTTTTCAAACTAAACTTTCTTTTAAACTGTTGTGTGCTTGGGAAAATATAAATTGTAATGTTAAAAATAAAAAAAAAACTTGACAGGTTAAAAACTTACACCACTACTACTAAATCACAAGACAGAAGTCAATGTCACAAATGAATAACTTTTATTTTAGAGTCACTGTATGTTTTTACAAGATAATACTTTTAATATAATGTGACTTTTCTAGAGAATCATTATACATAGTTATTTTATTCAGGGTTTGCACAGTCTGACATCATTTCAGAATTCCCTGACTTTTAACTGACTCAGGATTAGTTTTCCCTGACAAAATAAATGCAGCCGTTTGTCGTTTTGGTAACTACATCAAAATTACCGCTAGGTGGACAAAAATCACGCCATCTGGCAGAAAATCACCCGACTTTTTCAAATCACGCGAGAATGTGTACAAAACAACAAAAATGGCGCCGCTAACGCTTCTGGATCGTTTTCATCGAATGTCGGTGATTTTAAAGTAATTTTGAGCGATAAATTATTTTTTGTTGCAAATTTGTACTCTCCCAACAATAAAAACTACCTGCCCCGGGATATCGGGCGATGGTTAACATCGAGCCCTGTAATCACATTTAAACTGGATGAATTGAGAAAAAAATACTGAACAAAAATTGTGTTAGTTTGTTTTCATCATTAATGACACCTGATTTTATCAGGCGTGTGAAAACTGTTGATACCAGGCTGTTTTCTACATCCAGTCTGTTCCTCAGCTTGGCTTTGATGTGTGTCAAACATATTAGAATAACTGACCTTTTTGTTAAAGAAACCTTGTTTTATTTCTTAGTTGGGTCCTCACAAAGCAGAACAAATCCCAGTCCTATTTTATTTTATTGCATGAGAAATAAAATATTTTCATGTACCCCTTGCAATGCACTCGCAGACGACTAGAGGTACGGGTGCCTGCGGTTGGAAAACACTGGCTTAGATGTCCAAACAGATTTGATATTTGAAGAACTCTTATCCAGGCATGATGGTTTTTAAGCTTTTATGCCCCCAGTGGACACAAACCTGTGATGCTGCTTGTGCGTCACATTTACAGGTATGCAGGAAACGATGAGTGCAAATGTTCCCGCTTGGGATTTCAGTTTTTATAAAATAAAAGAATTATTTAAGGCTTTGAAATGTTTCTAATTAATTAATCTAAACTAAGGTGCTACAGTTCAGACCCTAGTTTAGACTCTAAATAAATCATATGAGATCCCTTCATTTGTCAACAATGAAATAAATGACAAACTGCTTTAAAGTCTTTTTTTAGGGTTCTCTTAGATTGTGGCTGATATACACAAACCACCACCTAGTTGAAGTTTGGTTCACAGATTGTTAAAGAATGTATAAAATGCTGGTAATTTGAAATGGCAAATTTGCTGGACGACTTCTCGCCATGTCGTCCATGATTTGCCTCCGAGGAAGATGAAGCAGCGAGGCCCATGGAGGGTCTCTGTGCTCTTCCTGCCATCGATGGGGTGTCTGCTGGTTGCTGAGTGCTGGGCTGAGTGAGGGAGTGAAGAAGCACTTATTGATTTTGGCCACACATCTCTTCTCCTGAAAAATCCCTTGATTGCTTTTGTTCTGCTCCCTCTCTCTCTCCCAGCCTCGCTTCCTCTAATGAAACTCTAAATGAATTGAAGCACCTACTGACTGCTCTCGTTTTCACTTCTCCTCTCTCTCAAGCCTCCTTCCTCTTCCTCATTACCACGATCTCTCGCTCAGATGATCTTCCTCTCTTTATTTCTTAGTTGTTTTTCCTCTTTTGTCTTTGATACTCATTCTGGTCATGCCTTCTCTTGATATTAAAATGGATTGATTATTCTGTTTATTAGCTGTTATATCCTTATCTATCTTCATTTCTTCTGCGCTCTTCATTACTCTCCTTGATATTCAGAAGCACTCAGATGCTTTCTTTACTAACATGTAAGAGTGTAAGCGACGACGTCATCTAACAGGAAGTTGGAGTACCCTGAAGTAACCCATGGATAGACGGGAATAACATGCAAACTCCAGGTAGTAGAATCCTGGACTTGATTCAAACCCAGGACCTCGTTAATATAAATACATGAACAGCCTCACTGTACCTAAAATAACACAAATCCTACAACAAATTAGATTTTGTTTAAAAATTATACAAATTGGCTCCTGTCTGCAATAAGATGAAAGACTTAATTGCCAGAATGAAACGTGGTTTCACCAAATTGAATACAAATGGCTGTTGTAAATGACTGCTGTAGTTTTAACTCCTTCATGACAATCGTCTTTAGTTCTCAGTGCAGTGCAAACTGGATCCAGAGCCACGCAGGGAACGTTTACTAATTGTATGCGTAAGGTTTTGCTTAAGATAATCAAAGGTTTTTCTCCTGCAGTCACTTTGAGCTTATTATTTACATCTGGGATGAACATGTTAAACAGCAGTTGGATATCTAAACCAATTTATTGGGTTCTAAGGTTTTAGAATAGAATATAAATAGTGAGAGATGACAGAATGACACCTTAACTTGTGCCTTTTTTTTTTCTTGTCGGTGAGATTCTCATCAAATATGCGCTAGATGTTTAACCACAGCTGGTCTCTCTTGAGGGTTCGCTGTTCTGGCTCATCAGCTGCGTATCTCTACGTTTTAGGTCCTTTCACTCTGCACCTGAGACGGTCTATCTGCAGCAGCAGACTGATTTTTTTTAATTTTTTTTTATTCCCACAGTTTTCCCCACGGTACGCTATTGTTCCGCCTCATCTGATGTGCACGTGTTTGACCCCTAAGCCTCATTTTTTTTTTTTTTTTTTTTTTCTTTTCACTCTACTATAGGGGAGCTGGAGGAGGAGATGGAGAATTCAGAGATGGCTGATCTCCCTGAGAAACAGAAGCACCAGCTCAGACACAGAGAGCTGTTCCTGTCCCGCCAGCTGGAGTCCCTACCAGCGACACACATCAGGTAGTCTGCTGGCTGGTCTCATCAGCTTCACTCCGTCTCCTTTTTGAAAGTTTTTACATTGAAAAGTTTTCCTCTATTGTGGAAAAAAAACATGAACCCAGAATATTTTAATGTGTAAATTGTGTTTTAATTGGAAGTCAGTAGAATTTATTTATTCTCAGTTTTCTTATGGGGTGATCAACTTTTTATAAAAAGAAATCTATTACTGGTTAAAAATAGCCTCAACATTTAGAGAAAAGCTTGTTTTGTTTCTTTCTTATAAAGGATACAATCATTTTGTTTAAAATTGACATTTAAAAGCATATTTTAAACCCTGATTATCTGATGGCGGGGGGGTCGCCTTAAAGCGGGTTAAAAAAACAAAACATAAGAGGCAGTCAATCTCTGCTAAAGCAGTTTTCTTTAAGTTACTCATATCACCATGACTATAAATCTTCGCTGCACATTATTTATATATAAACATTAAATAAGAGTTACTCATTCCTGTATAAACCCTGTTCTAAATACTGTGGGTAATGTTTTTCTGAATTGCATGTTCCACTCTGGCAACATCAACGTTTATTGGTTGAGTAAACATCTGAACTTGGCAGGAAAAATATGAGCAGTAAACACCAACCAATGTGAATCTAGAAGCAATCCTCTCTGTATCGCTCTGACCTTATAGCTCCACGTTTCTGAGGAGAACCTAGAATGTTAAAGGTTTAATAAGATCCTCTAGTTTCAGTGAAAATTCAAACCTAATTAAGAGTGATTCAACTCTGCTGCGCAGCTTTTTTTACAATGTGTCTGAGTTTGTCACCCTCGAAATTACATGCAGGGGTGTTAATAACTTCCTGTCAAATCATCCAAACTTAGAAAGTTGCAATTAGAGAAGGCAAACGAGTGCTATTAGTGACTGACCTCTGGGCTGGGACCCATCTGATCCTGAGGTTTTAAAGGGCTCTTAGTTGGGGTTTTTTTCAATGGTACAAAAAATCCATAACATTGGTTTGTTTGGGATTTTTCTTAATTTGATTGATCAAGTGGGTGGAAATAATGCATAGCTTTTTAGTGCAAATCTGACTTAACATACATGTTTTCCTTGCTTCCGCTGAAGTTATATTTTACGGAAGCAGAAGTATTGTATTGTATTGTTGTCCAGCTAAAGAGGGTATGTCTCTGTGCCGTTGTCAGGTGGGAATGGCAGGGTCTACCCTTAAAGGGCAATGCCGTTTTTTTTTTACTTGGACCCTTGACTTTACGTTATTACATCATGTACATCATGACGTCATACACACGCCACTTTGTTTTAAAAAAACAAAAAATACGAAAAATATAACTGTGGATGTCTGGGGGACAGTGATTCGCCTACATGTTGGCAGGCTGGCGTACCATAAAGAATAAATTATGAACAGTTTAGTTTACGCCTTCAAGTCGTTGCCCACAGGAAGATGTTACTTGGATATAACCTAACGGAATATCTTCAGAATGGCTCCAAATGACACAAGACTAATATGGGTGAGTAGAACATGATGTAATAACGTAAAATCAAGTGCCAAATGCAAAAAAAAACGGCGTTCCCCTTTAAAGGTATAGTGGAGGATTTTTGCAAATTTTGGAAAAGACCTGCCTTCTCCACGTTTTTGAAAAAATGCCCATGCACAACCCTGTTCCAGAGAAGGAATGCCTATTAAATGCGTCTGAGAGCGTGCACGAGCCCATTTCTCCTCGTGCACGCTCTGTTTAAAAGTTGCGGTCTGCATTGCTCATACAAGCTTACTATCCAGAAGAAGATGTGCAATTTTTCCACTATATCAGACTCACAACCAGTAAGGGAAAATCGGGACGAGCGCGTAGGACGGCCTTATGTAAACATATCTCCAGAATGATTGACAGTTAGGAGGACCACTTATTTTGATGATCCACCTGGAAAAAGAAAATCCTCCATTATACCTTTAAAGGTACACTATGCAACCGGTGTTGATTTTCCAGCGAGACTCCCCCCAGAGGGCGAAAGTAAAAGTGCACTGTCGTAAATATGCACAGCTGTTCTCCTGGTTTCTCCGTCAAGCCAGGCGCGGTTGTTTTGAGCTTAGCAGACAGGCGAACGCAACGAATGACTAATGCTGCGTTCACACCGCAGCTGGCGCGACAGAAGCAGCGAGTTTACATGCAAAGTCAATGGTTGACGCGCGTCAAGGCGCAGCAAAAGGTCCTGCGGCGCGTTTTGAGGCAGCAGGCGCAGCACATCTGAGCAGCTGAAGCAGGGAGAGAGACACAGCGCTGATGATCAGAGGCTATGATCTCTCCTCTTAAACAGTTTATTGACGCCTAAATAACTTAAAATGCAGAAATCTGCCGGCAGAATATGCAGTTTGGATTATTTAGATCAAAAACACCTACCAGCTGCCGCGGTGAACCGCGAGGACGTGTCCTGGCCAGAGGCTGCTGATGAAGGGGTTCCTTCTGTCGGCGCACCGCTGGTATGTGGGGGTCTGAGCGGCTCCGACAGAAAAAATATTGAAGGCAGGATAATAATCTGAATGAACTGACGGCACTGATTAAGTTTTCAGGTGTATTTTCTCATTTAAACACATATTAAAACTACTTTATTCCAAATGATCACAGCAAATATAGCTGCAAGGCAGAGAAAGGATAGTGAAGCTCCGCCCAACGCGCGTCAGACACACTTTTGCACCGCACAGCCAGAGCGTCAGAACTAACTGGTTCAAGCAGCAAAAATGAAGCAGCAGACACGATTTTGCTGCTTTTGCTGTGTGAACGTAGCATAACTGCACAAAGATCGCCACTGTGCTAGCAACGAGCATGCTTTTAACTGGGGGCGTGTAGCAGTTCTCCGCCGTAAAGCAAGACTGACTCTCACGAGACTTCTGAGCCTGTGGGTGCGGGTCGGTGCTCCTGCAATTGCAAGTGCAGTATTTCCCCCACAGACCACCAGGGCGGCCGAGAATACCTTTGTTCAACCTGAAATGACTCATTTAATCATCCAAAACGTTATGGAACACATTAATTAACTGAAAAATGTTGCATAGTGTGCCTTTAAGTCAGGTCTCATCAACCATATACTGCAAAAAATGACCCAAAAATAAGTAGAAATTTCCTAAAATGTGTTTCTACTCCCCTCGATTTATTATTTTTCTCTTGGAAAAAAATGGAATATTATGCACTTAAAATTAGATAATGGAAACATTTTAAATGTAAACAATCCGTGTATCATTCGTTCTTTCTATTTTCAATTGCCAATCAAAAAACAAAAAATAAAAAATTGACTGGTTATTTTGTTATTTGTTTTTTATGGTTAAACCAAAAACGAAAAAAGGATTTGTTTTTCATATATCAATTCTAAGCTCAGATCAAGAATACGAAATGGAAAAACGGACAGCAACGCAGAATTTGTTTTTAATATTTAATCGGTACAGTTTACGTGACCCGGAAATAGCTCTTTGCGCAGCAGTTGGGGTAATGAAGTGGCTACCATGGCGACGCTAGAACCACACACTATGTTGATCGAGAAGCTGTTTGTTGTTGCTAGTTAAAAGTACAGTGCACAGAAAAGTTTCAAGAAAAAAGTTATACCTGGAAAATCCTGCAAATTTTCTCCGTTGTCATGTCCTCCTCAAGAGTCACACGCTTGGATCCTCGAAATAAAACGTAACTGTCCATGGCTGATAGGTCCGACTGCCTTATCTGGTGCAGTTTGATCGAACGTGGTGGGAGTAAGCCAATTGTTTTTTTAGCTAACGCTCCACCAAACTTCCGGGTCATGTAAACTGTACCGATTAAATATTAAAATCAAATTCTGCGTTGCTGTCCGTTTTTCCATTTCGTATTCTTGATCTGAGCTTAGAATTGAAATATGAAAAACCAATCCTTTTTTCGTTTTTGGTTTAACGATAAAAAACAAAAAACAAAATAACCAGTCAATTTTTGATTTTTTGTTTTTTGATTGACAATTGAAAATAGAAAGAACGAATGATACACGGATTGTAAACCATCCTATTACATTGGCAGATTGTCTGACTTACCTGCTCAAGTTCTCTTATTTCAAGAAAAAATGTGTACTAATTGGCCAATTTCTGCTGCATAAGCAGCTTCTGTTTTAATTACTGTGAGTTTTTTATTTCACATATCCAGTTTCAAATGAAAACTGTGTATTTTCTTCCTTCCATCACAGTGATATGTAACTTTGTTTAACTCTGTTCCATCAAACCCCAATGAAATTATTTATGGTTTAATGAGACCAATGGTTCCATTTGAACACAATTTTTAACCCATTAAAAATGTTCCTTCATGCCTTTCTTCTCAGTTCCTGAATATTTTTGTAATTCTTTCATCCTGTGTTTTTTTTTTCTTCTTCTAATTTTCTCTTATTTCCATGCTCTCAAAACTCCAGGGGGAAGTGCTGTGTGACGCTGCTGAATGAAACGGAAGCCTTGAAGTCCTACCTGGAGAGAGAGGTATTGATAGACCCGCGCACAGAGACCTTACACAAACCACTTCCTGTAATCAAACTTTAATGTCAAAAGAAGAATGTGTGAGAATACCTCCACTGTGTGAAAGGATTTTTAAGATATTTAAACCTGATGCAAACTAGAATTTTTCTTTTACGATTGTGGCTGATTTTGCTGCCTTACATGTTAATTTTAAGGACAGCGGTTTTACATTTAAATTAAACAGTGTATACGAGTATAAGGTGAAGATAATTATGTAGAGTCTTCTGAATTTCTTAAGCTGTTTCTTTAATTTAAACATCCAGATAAAAAAACAACAAAACAAATGTGTTGTTTACTTAAAGAACACAAGATCAAAGAAGATCAACACTTTGTGGTTGTTGATAAACTCAGAATGAACTGCTGCTTTAATGTTTTATGACTGTGACATCCTGGACAAACATTAGTTATTGCCATTTCCCATAAATTTAAACAATGTTTCCAATATGAATGGTTTTCAGCTCCAAACTAACCTGCCTGCACAAAAAGAACAATGACTGTACTGTCGCACCTGACATGCTTTGGTCCAGGAAATATGAAATAGTTGGATAATATTATTTAGAGTTGAAAAAAATGCCATTTCTTTTGTCAGGGGGTGCATTAAACAAATCGTGCAAATTAAAAGTGAGCATTAATTCAGCGGCGATTTCATAGGTCTGACAGGTAGAGAGACGTGGTTACAAAGTAAAACGGATAAAGTAGTGATCCTCTTTGAGCCTCACGAAAAACAAAATAACTAGGGGCAAACAGAACAGGTAAGCACGCCGAATCTCTTTCACCTGTTTATGAAAAAAGAAAAACTTGGATAAACTTTACAGATCTGTCTGAGAATCAGCTCTCACTGCGTCTGTTAGGATATAAACCATCCCACAGTGTACATTGCTGTGATTTTGTTTTCTTTAGACATAGATCTCATTATTTTTAATATGTGAACATGCTATATCTGTTCTGGTTTGAGATGCTGCACAGACTCATTAAGTGGGGCTTTACTTTATAGAATTACTGAAATATCCCTATAATCGTAAGTTGGAAAAAAAAAAACAAAAAAAAAAGCATTTGGTTTTCTTTAGGTGATTTAAGAAAATCACATCAAGATTTCTGGTCAGTTTAACCTCTTCGTATCCCTCCCATGCCTCTCTAAGTTGGAATTAGTTATTCAAGTACTATATGTTTTCCTGCCGAAAACTTTAGGTTGAAGAATCATCTAGGGCTGAAACAATTAATTGTGATTATTGACATAATCGTCAACTAATTTAGTAATTGATTAATCGTTGAATGGAGCATAGCGAATCTAAAACATGCCTCTAGCTGACAGAGCGACCCAATTACAGCAGTAATTTTACCAAAATTGTAAAGAAAATCGATTAACATTTTGCATTTAAGATAAAATAAACATTCATCTGTCAATAGGAACCTTTGGCTATCCGATTGTCTTTTGATAAATGGAAAAATTATCCACAAATTAATCGATTTGCAAAATAATTGTTAGTTGCCGCCCTAGAATCAACCCCGGTTATCTGAAACATGAGTGAGGTATCTCACTATGGGACACGCCCCCAGCGCTGTCTCCAGGAGCTCTAATACAGTGTTTTTCAACACTGTATTAGAGGCACCCTGCTCTGCATGTTTTGGATGTTTCTGAGGTTCAGCACACCTGATTCAAATTATTGCAGTTCAACAAAGCCTGATAATCTGCTATCAATTTATAACAGGTGTGTGAAAGCTGGGAAACTTCTAAAACATGCAGGGCAGTGTGCCTTGGGGACCAGGGTTGAAAAAACACTGCTCTAATACATTACAGCAGTCCTGGCTGGCAAGCCGAAGTCATGTCTGCTTCTGGAGGAGGGACTTCCACCCAGTATAAAAACTTGACATCTCGCTGTTGAGCCTCAGTCTTGTCAGCACGCCTCTTCCTCTCTCCAGGCAAGGAGGATGATCTGGTGATATACCTCAAACAAGAACTTATGTGATATGGCAATATTTTTTGCCATATCGCCCACCCCTAATTGCATCAGAGAACCTTGATGGAAACTGCAAAATTAGAAAAAAAAACCTCAAATTCCCAACTAAGTTTTAATCAGTAGGGAGATCGAAACTCTTGAAGTAGCAAAACTTTTCCTAACATGACTGATGAGCTGTTTCTGCTGTCGGCGTCTTCTCGGATGTTCTTATAAACATGGCTGGAAGCAACATCGCCATTACTACCCGACATGTTAATGTAATAAACACTTGCCCGATTGCAACGCGCTCATTAAAACTGTCAACCGTTATATAGATGACAACATATCACATTACGCGTTGCGGTGCTTGGTTAATTCCCTTCAAACCAAATAGAAACACCGCAGATTTGCATTTAGTAAAATTCTCTTTTCATTTTAATGGAACCACAGCTGTAGGTGGTGGGAAACGGCGTTGCACACCAGCAGTTTTTGGACTTTACCAGAACCACTGAAAACATTGTCCTCATTTCTGAACATCAATCGGTGGCTGACACATAGAGAATGAATTCATTAGCTTAGATTTGTAGAATTCTTTTCCATATTCAAATCACACTGAACCTAATCTGAGTGGATATCAAGCTTTTGCAGAAGAACAATTAAAGTGGGACTGAAATTACCTGAAAGATCCATGTTTAAGGCAATAAAACCAAGTTATCCATCCAGTGTGAGACGTAGATGCCCAGTGGCCTTTTGGGATTTTAAAAAGTATGATTAGCTGTTATATTTGTGGCCTTGTATAAGGCTGTGTTGGTCTAAGTCTAAGGAGTTTAAAGATTCCTGTTTCTAGATGAATTATTCAGCATGTTGACCCAGAACTTTCTGTTCACACACAGTAATGAGGAGAGACTAGTAGAGAGGAAGCCGTGCACACAGTCAGATTTCGCTCGCTCTTAGGTCTGGTTGCACCATCTTCTTCCCTGAACCTTCCTCCCATCTGTTTTTCCCAGGATGCCTTCTTCTACTCGCTGGTGTATGATCCTCAGCAGAAGACCCTGCTGGCGGATAAAGGGGAGATCCGCATCGGGAACAAATATCAGGCCGACATCACCGACCTCCTGAATGAAGGTAGCTTACATTGACCTCTAAGAGAAGTTTTTTCTTTCTTCTTTTTTTACCCCTAAATATTTCTGCTATATTTCTACAGAGCACAATAGCAATAGCTTAACAAGAGAACCTGTCCCTAAACAACTCTTTCCACTCAAAGTGTTGCAGTGACTAGCAAACGTTTTTATTCCCTTTTAACCTTTTGAACATTTTGTCACAATACAGCTATGAACCCCAATCTGTTTCCACTGGATTTCATAAAGTAATCCATTAAAATATTAGATTAATGTATTTAGTTTTATCATTAAGGAGACCAAATACAAATGTGCACCACACTTTTTTTTTGTGTAACTGAAAAGTCTGCCTATTAACTCACCAAACAACATCTTCTTAGATTCCCCTTTTTCAGTTTAATAAAAGATCATAGTGAAGTTAGAGACTTATCCTTTGAAATTACATTGGGATTATTTTAGAATTATTATATTTCTCTAACATACTGAGGAGAATTACCTCTATATAAGAACCTGTAGTTAATTTACTCTTATAGATGCTAGAGAAAGTGTCTAAAATGAGAATCTGCAAAGAACACAAGAAATCTGTATAAATCAAGAAAGGCTCCACCAGGGACCTTCATGCAAAACACCCCATAACTACCTCCCTATTTAATAATTAAAGAAATGTAATGTATATTTAGTGAGATGTGATAAAATACTACAAAAAAGAAATCGACCTAAGAACATTTTAATAATATCTGACCATATTATAGATTTGTAACTGGTTTTGGTCTTTGTGTTTTCTAGAACCTTTTATCTTGGCTAGCAGAAATAATACCCAGAAAGCTCAGCTAGTTCTCATATAAAAAGTTTATTTTTAAAGATCTGTGTTGTATGTATGCAAGAGTGATCAGATTGTATCTTATCTGATCATACAGTGTGGTTTTCTGTGTGTTTATGTTGGTTCAGATGAAGAGGATGGCAGAGACCTGGCGAAACTAGAGGAGAAGATCTGGGACCCCCAGCAGCTCCCTGACAGAGAAACAGATCGACCAGTTCTTAGTCGTGGCCCGGTAAGTCACCAGAGATGCTGTGAAATTTATCATTTGAAACAAATTAAAATGTAACAGAAATAGGACGTTTTTTTTTTTTTTTTTAATCAGCCTGGTTTGTCAGAGGAGGTAATTAAAAAAACAAACAAAAAAACATTCATATAATCCAACCCCAATGTTTGCTTTAGTTTATCATGTACTAGAAAAATTATTCAGTAAACCTGGATTTTAATACTGATACAAACAAGAAAAATGCATTAATTCACAGAGGTTAAAATCAAAGCATGAAAACCATAAGTAGAAATTCAGTTAAAATGACTTGAAAGAGTCCAGCACTTAAAAAAGGAACACTGAAAGTAAACTAACAATTATACAAAAAAAAAAAAATCACAAAATCTAAAACCTGAAAAATGAATATGATATAAAAAATGTTTTCGCACAATTAAAAATTCATTGCAAGGGTAATAATTTTAAAAAGATGATGATACAATTGTTTTCCCCCCTCTTTTTTAAGTGGTTAAAAAAAAATGTTTATTTGTAAATAATCTACACATTATATCCTTGGGGCTTCTGTTGGTGCAAATCTAGAACTTCTCTAGGCCTTATTTGTATGTGTGAGAAACTGGGATTGTTGATACAGAAAGTTGGATAAAAGAAATATATAAATAATGAAATATTACACTTGAATAGAAAAACACAATGATTTAAGTGTGTTTAAAGGAATAGTACACCCAAAACATGATTAGCCTTCATTTTCTACTCACCCCCATGCTGAACAACACTCTGGAGTACTTTTTTGATATCTCAAATGCATCTGGAGATCTGGGAGGCTTCTTGCTGTCTGCTGACATTCAAATAATGGAGGTCTATGGCGCCCAAAGAAGAAAGGTCCATAAAAGTCCACAAAAAACGTGTCAATATTCCTCCATACTGCTCGTCCAATGTATTCCAAGTGTCCTGAGTGGGTAGTGTCCATAATTTACTCGAAACGAAGTCATTTAGAATGTTTTTAGAGCATAAACAGTAGTGTATAGGATTTCCTAAAAGCGCGTTCACGAGTCTACGGAAACCGCGGCAGACCAAACCAGACGAAAGTGCGCATTCAGCTCGGCAAAGAACTCATGCTCTTCCTTAACACTGAAGTCCTCAGACATTTTTCTTTCGTGGTTTCTTTCTCTGCACAGGTAAACAGCACATTTCTTCTTCTACGCTTGCATTATCGGCAGAGCAGACGCTGAATGCGCACTTTCGTCTGGTTTGGTCTGCCGCGGTTTCCGTAGCGTTGTGAACGTGCTTCTAGGAAATCCTATACACTACTGTTTATGCTCTAAAACATTCTAAATGACTTCGTTTCGAGTAAATTATGGACGCTACCCACTCAGGACACTTGGAATACATTGGACGAGCAGTATGGAGGAATATTGACATGTTTTTTGTGGACTTTTATGGACCTTTCTGCCTCGGGCGCCATAGACCTCCATTATTTGAATGTCAGCAGACAGCAAGAAGCCTCCCAGATCTCCAGATGCATTTGAGGTATCAAAAAAGTACTCCAGAGTGTTGTTCAGCATGGGGGTGAGTAGAAAATGAAGGCTAATCATGTTTTGGGTGTACTATTCCTTTAAGACTTTCTATCAATATATCAAGTAGTTTGTACAAATGATCAGAATAATAACTGACATATGATGCATTGATTTATATTATAGATCTGAACTAAATTGTGAATCCACTCTGATATTTGCTGTGCTTGTGATACAGCATTGATACTCTGTCTCTAGCTGTCTTTGGTTGTGTAATCCGACAGTCGCTGCCAGAGAGGACCCGTCATGTAATTTGTGTTTGCTGGAACAATTCCTGTCTGAAACCATTAAATCCAACTTTGAGTTCTTCAAATGTTCTATACAGACAATCGGAAAAATCCCAAAAGTTCAAGTTGGAATTTAGAGTAGAAAAAATACAGGAGACCTTTAATAGTCTATAAATATCACTTGTTTTTGCACATTTTTAAACCAGTATTTGTCCCACAGGTCAGTTGGTACGTTTGCCAGAGCTTTGGACTGCAGCAGTTCTGTCCGGCAGCCGAGCCTCCACATGAGCGCCGCCGCTGCCTCCAGGGACATCACTTTGGTGAGATGCATGAAAGTGTGTTCGGGTTAGATCATGCTGCTGATGGAGGCAGATATTAGTAAATCCGAACCATGGATTTCCTCCAGTTTCACGCCATGGACACGCTCCACGCTAACGGCTATGACATGACTCGAGCTATTGCGGCACTGGTTCCCCAAGGCGGGCCCGTCCTCTGCAGGGATGAGATGGAGGAGTGGAGCGCCTCAGAGGCCAACCTGTTCGAGGAAGCACTCGAGAAATACGGCAAAGACTTCACAGATATCCAACAGGACTTTGTAAGTGACCCTCTACAGAACTGCTCACATTTTCTCTTCTTGATAAGACTTAAGTCGATTATTAAGCGCAAAAGTGGGACAGGCTGCATATTTGATATCAATATAAAGTGTATCTTCGAAAATTTGGTAGAAATTTCGTATAATTAAACTATTCAATCAATCCAAGCTAAAATCATACATAAAGGCTTACATTTATTATTATTTGAACACCTTGCTATTTTGAAAGTTCTCCCACTTAGAAATCATGGAGGGGTCTGAAATAGTCTTCATAATCCCCTCCGTTATGAGCTTTCACCGTGAGCGTTACTCCGCCACCTGGTGGCCAGTTTCTCCCAGCGCTACTCACTCTTATTTCCCACTCTTTTTGTTTTGCAGCAGCACGGGTGGGGCTGCTACTTGCTACAACGTTGTTATATCTTTGTTTTAAACTTCCTCCAGAGATAATTTAAACAGCCTCAGCTGTACGAGATAATATAAATGCAGTTTTCCCTTTCCGAAGGCTGCATTTTGGAAGCACATCCGCTCCTTACTCCTTGCCCCTAACATTTATGATCACCCTATTAATACACATTACTTCTATTCCCTCCCTGTCTCAGCTGCCCTGGAAGTCACTGACAAGTATAATTGAGTACTACTACATGTGGAAGACTACAGACAGATACGTCCAGCAGGTTCGATTGCCCCTTTTTTCTTCTAATGTTTTTTCCTCACTTTAAAGTTGGTGCTTGTTTGCATAAAGGCGAGGAGCTAAATGAATCTAATCCCGTTGTTCTTTCTCTCCTCCTCACCCTGTTCCCGCTCCAGAAACGATTAAAAGCAGCCGAGGCAGAGAGCAAACTCAAACAGGTCTACATCCCCAACTAGTGAGTGCCTTTGCCTGCATTTGATCGCTCTGTTTTCATGTTACGCTGGACGTTCACTTTGGTAACGAAGCGTTGCTCAAAGCACATTAAACTTATAAAACTAAAGTAAGGAACTTATCACCTTTTAAGTTATTAAAGTTGTAACAAACTTATATTGGTTATTGGGATTTTATGTGATAGCCATTAGATCCTGAGAGGTACCTTAATTTCTAAATGGACGTTTGTGTGTCATTAAATCTCAGCTTTTGTCCGGCTGTTCTGTGGAAAAAGGGACCAACCAGCAGCATCATTTAGACCAGAGAACACAGCAATTGCTCCATTTAACACTTAGCTTAGCATTGTACAATTCACAACGTTTTAAGACACTTGACGAAACGTGGGAAGAGGTGAAATTACGTTTGCCTGTAAACTACATTGATCAAACAGTTTTTTCCAAGTATAGTATAACTATATCATCAGGATACAGATCATCAATGTACTACATCGGGCATCCCCAAAGTTGGTCTGCGAGGACCAACTTTAATCAGCTGTGCTGGAGCAGTGAAACCTTTAAAACCTGCAGGACAGCGGCCCTGGACTAACTTTGGGGATGCCTGTACTACATAAAGGGAAACAACTACAGCATACCAACCGTTGCATCCAGCAGGTACTTGAGACATTGTAGACATGAAGATGTTGATCTAAATTGAAAGAACCAAAGGAGAGGTGTAATCAGATTCCCCTCTGAAGGAGCTGCAGGTGTCCCCAGCTCTGGTATGCTCCAGTAATGACAATAAAAGCTGGGGGGAGTAATACAGTGCATTGAAGAAAAAAATGCCACTGTGGTTGCAGCGCAAGCTGTAGGAATGCTTTCTTTCAGAAAGAGAAATAGTTTAGAGACCATTAGTGGCGCTTGAACTATCATCACAACCCTGTGTGGTCAACATTTTGAAAATCGCATTCATTAACCTTCCATGTCATCGTCCATTGTTGAGTCAGTATGTTACATAAAAGTGCAATAAAATGCATTTTTTTCCACTGGATTTAGTTTAAATGAGTGTTAAATAAAGTGTTAATAGTTTTGGGGAGAGCAGATTTACTTCTTGAAACAACCCTCGCATAGATTCTGGGTGATCATAACAGGTTAGATGGACCCTCTGTCTGATGAGTTTTCACAGTGTTTAAGAGGCTCACACCACAGGGAGATCTTTAGGATCGATCTACATTTGAAGATCGACTCATTGCCCATTTAGAAGCCTAAGCTCTACATTATAGAACCAAATCTTTATAAAATATAAACTCTCAGGAGGAGTCTATTTTTTTTTTTAAATGTATCTAAATTTGTTAATTTGGATTAGGCAAATTAAATCAGCATTTGAACTCTTTAAACAGTAAAATAGTGGGAAAATCCCCTGAACAGCACATAAAACACAAAAGATTAGGCAGACTAGTTTGCAAAGCCACATTTTGACGTCTGAGAAGTCTCTAGTTTGTTTAATAATTTTTTCTAAATAATTTTTTACATCATGTCCTGATTTTACAGATCTATCGAGTCCAAACCTTTGGGATGTCATCTAACAAGATCTTTGGAGACAAAAAAAAGCTATGGATTTAAATAATAATCAAAGGAAGCTTGCAACAGATCAAATGTGTGCAAGAAAAAGCTCCAATATATGTTCCCACTATGTCTATAAGAGTGCCTTTCTGGCCCAAGCCGTGTCACTTTCTGGGCCCTGTTTCAAAAAGTGGAAAAAAATCTATTCTGATCATTGATTCGATTCCCAACTAATATACTAATATTTAAGATTTTTGGTTCCAGAACAGGTGATAGAAATCTGCTAACTCGAGTTAAGTCAGACTAGATTTAAGGGTGAGCGTGAGTACATAAGAAGCCCTCATCGATGGAACGCAAACAACCTGATCCACCATGTGAGGGGGGCGGGGGGGCACACCTGGTTGCTAATTTCTCACTAATACGACTTAAAATACAAATGACTCAATTTAGAGATTACAAAAACAGGTTAAACTCAGCAGAGACCAGAAAATAAAAAAATATTTAGACCTTTACATCCATCCATCCATTTTTTTACGCGCTTAATCCCAAGTGGGGTCCTGAGGGGTGCTGGTTTCTATCTCCAGCTGTCTATGGGCGAGAGCCGGGGTTCACCCTGGACAGGTCCCAAGTAGACCTTTACATTTATTTCATTACAAAACTAGAAAAGCACTTGAAGAGCAAAGACCTCGCCATGCAGCAAATTTTGCTCCATATTGTCACATCATCACCAAATTTTAATGAATCTTTCCTTGGCACGAGGCACAAGTTTCCCTGACAGAGGCATGATGCAGCCTCTAGTGTCTGTTCTGCTCTCCTTGTTCTTCTCTGATCGAGACAGATCAGGACTTCTAGCGAAGCATTCCTCCCTTTTGTTGTTATTTCATATTTTTATCTTCCGTATAAGACATTCAGACGTTTTTGAGTGCGATGCTGAAGCTGTCAATGCTCACTGCTGCCACCCTCTGATTTAGGGGATAATAATGATAAAGACTCCTTTAAAAGATTCCTGTGTCCAGATCATGAACTGGATCCTCTCTGAACTGTAATGAGTTGTTCCTCTGCATTAGATAAGCCTCTGATTAAAAATGTCATTAAAATATGTTCATGGCTTTTAAAGTAATTCTGTTAACTAACAGACAAACGCAACTCTTTGTGTGCTGTTGTAAACCAGCAAGCGCAAAATGGATTTAGCAGTAAATTAGGATAAAACTTAAAAATGCAGGTAAATCAGGTATAGTTCAGTTATCAGCTGTTATATTTTATATTTCCCCTATGAGGGGAAACCCTCCTCTCTACCAATGGAGGAATCAATTAAGACATTATCATTGGTCTTATCTTGGCTTATCTGAGCGGTATGCTAACAGTTTAATTTATCACGATCAGTTTGCTTTCAGCAAAAAAAAAACAAAAAAACAAAAACAAAAAGAATTGCAGCTAAATAACCTGTCATTGTTGTAGGAGCAATGTGTGGCCAATATTTTTTTCAGAGTAAATATTGACTGGCAAAAATAAACTATCATCAAAACTCTTTCCTTATTAAAAATGCACCTGTTCATATTGCAGCATGATGAGCATTTGGTCTCCAAAATCTACAGGCTCCTGCAGTAAAGGGCCATGTTTTCCCTGATGTTTTTCTTGTCTTATCTCAGCTCAAATGTGTGACAAACTGAGGGTAACATGAAGAAATTCTGCTACTGTCCACATATGTTTCAGAGTATTTAATTGGCCTTGGTTAATGGTTATCCAGCTTTCTAGAACTGAAAATCCTCTGTATGCAGGGATTAACTCTCAAACTTATTCCCATTTCTAAATTATCGACTTTCTGAAGCAGAGCCCTGGTTATCGCTTTGTGGTTTTATTCTTTAGCGAACATAACTCGTCTGACTGCATGTTTCTCTGCCTGAACCTCCAGCAACAAGCCAAACCCCAACCAGCTGAGCAACAGCGTGAAACCAGCTCTGCTTAATGGAGCGGCCGGCTCCACCGTCCCAGGACCGCCGGGCTCCGGGCAGACCCCCGGTCTGGGCAGAGCCTGTGAAAGTTGCTACAGTAAGCTATATTTTATGTGATATCTGTAATTATAATTCTAATCTGGATCATTTGAGAAAGCGCAGATTTTCTCCATCGTCTTTGTGAATCACATTAGATGCAGATGATGGAGGAGAAAAAGATTTCTGCTATGAATAGAGCCCCTTTTAAACCTCTGACCAAGGGAATGCTTCTTGCTTGCATTGGTGTGTGCAGCCAGCAGCTCCTACCAGTGGTATTCGTGGGGACCCCCCAACATGCAGTGTCGTCTGTGCGCTTCATGCTGGACCTACTGGAAGAAGTATGGAGGACTGAAGATGCCCACAAGACTGGACGGCGAGAGGCCGGGGCCCAACCGCAGTACCATGGTCAGAGCCTACTTCAAATATTCCTGATCAGATTACTTTTGTCTTGTCTGTAGACATTATTGGTAGTCTGGCCAAATGCGTTTAGTTTCAGGGTTTCCACGGGTCCTTAAAAAGTCTTAAAAGGTATTGAATTGTTCAAATTAAAACTAAGGCCTTAATTGGTATTAAAATGCCTTAAATCAGTCTTTCGTAGGTATTAATTTTTAAAACATCGTAAATAGGATTATTTTTATTACGATGTATTTTTGTAATCTAAATAAAACGTTAAAATGTACAATTTTTTTGTTTTTTTATTTAAAGAAAATAACGGCCCGCCATTATTGGTTCCGTCCCGATAGCGGAACCAATAAAAGCGTTGTTGCGGCCGAGACATTTGGGAGATGCACCATTTTCCATGGCTAAAACCAGGGAACAAGAAGCGATTTTAGCTCGGAACGATGGGAATTAAGGCAGTGGAGTCACACATACGAAGCGCGAAACACAAAGCGTCAAAATGGAGTTACTGAGAAACAGCCGGTATTTCTCAGTTTAGTTCCACCCTTGTCTCTGCAACGCCTCCACTTATCACCAAATCAAACACACTAAGAAAACCATACAAAGAAAAATAGCTGCAAAAAAGATGTAGCACTGGTTATGTTGGGGCTTTAAAACCGATTAGTTTTGTTCCCTGCTAAAACAAAGTTTGTGAATTCTGTTAAATAATTGTTAAAATATATGTCATTTGTTTGTTTTTAGCTTTCTTCCTGTATGGGAAGCTTTTCAATTGGGGATGCACGATATAATCGGCCCCCTATCTGTATCGGCCTTAAAACTGAATATCGGACATCGGCCACCCCACCGATATTTAACCCGATATTTGATCAGCTTCTGAGTTTCTAAAGTCTAAAAAAAAAAAAAAAAATACTACTTCTTCTTCTTCTTCCTCAAAAACTTCTTTTTTACAGACTTAAAAACTTCTAAAGACGAGGGAAAAAATGTTGATACATCAAAATATCTTCATATGCTGATATATTGCCATTTAAAAACACCATATCTGTTTTACTAATGAAATATTGCTATATGTCATCGTTATGCGACGAAATCCCCCGAAAATTCACGAAATTTTGCCAAATTTTTATATGTTGATATATTGATGCGGTATCGATCTATTTTACTAACAAAATCTCACAAGAATTTGCAAAATATCACGAGAGTTTGTAAGGATTGTAGATCGATACCGCGTTTTTAAAAATCTATTTGATATCAGCATATGAAAATATATTTGAGTATATTATTTTTCAAAGTGTCAGAAATGGAAAACAAAACTGCTATTTTCAATGACTACTTATTTTTGTCCAACTTTAACATCGGTATCGATATCGGTTATCGGCTACAAGAGTTTTAAAATATCGGCATATCGGATATCGGCCAAAATCTCAATATCGTGCATCCCTAGAAATTAGGGCAGTGGAGTCGCACATGCGAAGCAAGAAACAGAGCGTCAAAATGGAGTTACCGAGAAACAGCCGGTATTTCTCAGTTTAGTTCCACCCTTGTCTCTGCAGCGCCTCCACTTATCACCAAATCAAACATACTAAGAAAACGATACAAAGAAAAATAGCTGCAAAAAAGACTTAGCACTGGTTATGTTGGGGCTTTAAAACTGATTTGTTTTGTTCCCTGCTAAAACAAAGTTTGTGAATTCAGTTAAATAATTGTTATAATATATCTGGCATTTGTGTATTTTTAGCTTTCTTCCTGTATGGGAAGCTTTTCAACATTTGAAACATTAGTGCAGTGGTTTATGTTAAAATAAACCTTTGGGTTAAGTTGTCGCAAGCAGGTTTTGCTTGTGAATTTGGTCTTACATTTTTATTTCAAGTGGCATTAAATAGTCTTAAAAAGTCTTGAATTTTACTTGCCTTATGCTGTAGAAACCCTGAGTTTTTAAACCTGCATATTTATGGTGTGAAAGGAGCCCCAGTCATTAGTAAGGCTGTTTCTCTTTCAGCTACAGGGATGATGGTAATGGAAATTCTGTCTGAACTGAAGCTATTTTAGCACTTTTATCTACATTTTCTGTTCTTAGCTCTTAATCACTGGCCTGAATCAGTATCAACAGAATGCTAGTATGAGTGTTGCAAAAAAGAATGAATAAAATCCAAGTCCAGCTGCTTGGAGCATCTAAGCAGGACGCAGGAATGGGTAGTTACGAGTAAGCTAGCTGTCGATTATGGTAGAATCCGCTAACCAGCCTTTCACCTGTTGTTTCAGAGCCCACACGGCCTTCCCCTGCGGCACAGCGGCAGCCCCAAGTTTGCAGTCAAGACCAGACAGGCGTTTTTTCTGCAGACCACCGCTCCCACGCGACTGGCACGCCGCCTCTGTGAGGACATAATCCGACCGCGGTATCTGGCCCGGCACCCCTACCTCCCAGTCAACACAGCAGCCATCAAAGCAGAGTGTAAGGACGCCCTCATGTTACAGACTGAGCAGCATTGTGTGGTTCAAACATTTATTGATGGCTGTTACTCTGCAGGTGCTCTGAGGTTACCAGATAGGCCAAAAAAGCCTCCACCACTGAAGCCAGTCGACCGTAAACCCCTGGAGTCTGTGGTTCGGTACCTGGGTAAGATTTATTTGAATTTTGTTTTCTTTTATTTGATTTTTTTTTTCTCCTAAAAAACGGTTTGAGAACTTTTACAACGATCTTCCTTCTTTACCCCTTTTCTTATTCCAAGCCTCTTTTTTTTATTCTTCCAACTCTCCATTCTTTCCTTTCTTTTCTCCTCTTTGTTTCTTGTGTCCTTTTTTCTCTCCTTTTCACTCATCACTCCTCTGTTTCTTCTTTCTACTTCCTATTTTCCTTGTGTCCTTCCTCCCACCTTGTTAGTTGACTTGAAATTTATGTCATAAATTCTTTGATTAACGTTTTCTATTTAAATGGGGATTAAACTAAAAGCTGTAAGAATGTAAACCCTGAGGAGTGTGGACTTCTCACCCTCTAAGCTCTAGGAATCCGGTTACTGCCTGACCCTCTTTTGTTTTGAATGTCTGCAGAAGCACATCCCCGTCCATCCAAGCCCAACCCGCCACCTCGTGGAGGATCGATCTCAACAGGAAGCTTAACGCCCATCAAGTCCTCTCCCATCCTTAACAACGGCTCGCCGACCATCCTGGGCAAACGCAGCTATGAGCAGCACAACGGCCTGGATGGTGAGTTTCTACGCCTCCAACCGTTAACTAAGCTCCCTCTCTTTGTATGCCCATAATGAGACCCTTTGTTGGCAATGGTCTTCGTTTTATCTCCATTAAAAATGGAAGTTTCAGTTTAGTGCAGAAATTTACTCATGCTGTTCATATCCTGACTCCTATATTTGATGTCAATACCATTGGGAGTGTATGTTTAAGGATAAAGTGGAATAAAGGATGTAGTTGGGTCACTGGATTGATCAAAGTAACCCTTGCACTGACCTGCAGGCTGGTATTAAAGACTCTCTGCTTCATCTCACCTGATGTTCTGAGGCAGTTAAAAACCAATAAAAATCTTGAGTTGTCATAATTAATAAGGAAAATGTACTTTTTTTGTTATGCAGAAACCAACAGGTTTGTGTAAAGATTAAAGGAACCTTATTTAGAATCATTCAAATATGTTTTCTCATCTACTATAGATCATTTAAAACATATGACACATTTTTATCTTCCTTAAGATTATATTAAATAAAATACGAGTTCCTAAGGCTTGTCAGGATCATCTAGATGTGTAGGATCAGGAGAAAGGATTTTTTTTTTTCCAGTTTTAGCTGGATTTTATGTGCAGGATGAACAATATTGGCAGAGCAGAACGCTGCGATGAATATTGAATGTTTCTGTCCTGGAGCCCAGTTTTACTAGCCTGGGTGCCATTCCGAACTTAGTCCCGCCCACAAGGTTTGAGGTCGGGAAGTTCGGTCTGGCATTGCTCCATAGTAGCGCGAGTATTATCGCCCACTGTAAGGCGATCCAATCAAATTGTCAGGGCGGGCTTTATACGATGATGGACAGATGACCAACAGTAACGTAATCAACCACGTGACCAATGTGCGCTTGGGTGACAACAACAATGGCTGCCGCTGGAGAGTTTATGTGAGTAGATTCTGCTATTAGGTCTGTTCTAGAAGATGCCGACAGCAAATTAATTTTAAAAGAGGAAAAGAGAAACGCGATCAAGTCTCATATTCTTATTATAGGTGTGCAACTGCACGCTTTGATTTTTGTGGACAACAACTATGCGTCGCTTAACATACGTCACGCACTCCGTTGCTCTTATTGGTTGTAGGTCTATCCAATTGAGTGCAGAGGCATTTTTTTTCCTGGTTCGTTCGAAACACGCCCCATAATCACAGCTCTATGGAGCAGTATCAGACTCATATTCTGACTAGAATTGAGTCGGACTACGTCAGGCTACAGTTTTACCTCCGCTCACCTCCATCCCCTTAGACCTGCCTAAAGAAAAGCGACCCCATATCATGATGCTGCCACTGCCATTCAGTTCCACTGTTCAGGTGGTGTGTTCAGGGTGATGTGTGGGGTCAGCAGGAGATATTTATAACAGATATCAGGTTCCTCTTGTCCTGCTTTTAAACTTCTCTCAATCTTCCTTTCTAACCTGCTCAGTTATTTAATCCTCATAAAGCTGTTTGTTCTTTTACAGAACAGCAGGATTTACACTGAGGTTAAATTAAAGGAGACCATTGAGGAAATTTTGGTATTTTGTCCTTAGCTCCTTTGCAATATTTATTGAAGTTATTTTTAAACCTCTATCACTTCTCATTAACTTCTTTGTTTTGATGCATTACTTAAAATCCAAACAGAATGGAGGCCATGATCTGTGTTGTCATGGTAACATGTAGGGCTGCAACAGCGAATCGATAAAAATCGACTTTTAAAAGCGTTGGCAACGAATTTCATCATCGATTAGTTGTCGCACAATTAATGCGTCATCCGCCCGCCGTCGTCATCACTGCCACTTGACTGAAACGGGGAAAGAAAGAAAAAATACGGCAGCGCTGCAGGTGCAGTGTTGCCAACTCAGCGACTTTGTCGCTATATTTAGCGACTTTTCAGACCCCTCCAGCAACTATTTTTCAAAAAAGCGACTAGCAACAAATATGGCGACTTTTCACGGTGTCACTGGCGGCTTTTGGAGACTCTTACGTGAAAGCATGTATCATTCCTACTCTGCCGTGGGGTGCCTCCCCCATCCCAACCCCGTCCAGACTGCAAATGAAGCGCGCATGCGCCGGGATTGACGGCGCAAATTGATCACAATAATTAAAATAGCCTGCGCTTTGTAAAGTGAAAAAAGTCGTAACATGCAACTTTTGTCAAAAGAAATTAACATGGCGCGGAAGCACCACTGTTATGACGCAGCACCTGAAAAGGAAACACGTTGGAGCCTTTGATGGCAGTGAAGAGAGCTGATCAGCAGGATGAGCGACCATGTTTGTTTTGTTTTAAAGTGGGGAAACGTAACGTTAGTTTCTCAGGTAGCTCATCTGATGCTTTCCTTACCGTGTTAGTAGGTTACAGACAGTGATAAGGTTGGCTACTTATTTTACTTTTAATTTCATTTGAATTAGCTTAAGAAGCGTTTATATTTACTTTATAAATAAATTAACTTGAAAATTATGAGGGCAAGGCTTTTAAAGTTTAAATCTTCTGGCAAAGATAAAGTAAAGATCCTGCAATTTATGGAAGTAAAGCAGAATAAAATCCAGCAAGTTCAGTAATATGTCAATTAATTATCTGCCACATTTCCATGTAAATATCTGTCTTTGGAGGATGTGTTTTTTACCACCCCTAGTTCTCTCATTTTTATTCCAAATACAATTTATAATTTGAATCACAGGGCTATTTTTATCTCTATGGTTCAGTATTTTCTCAAGTAGCAACTTTAACTGCTATACTTTCCTGTCTTAAAAGGCAGAACTCTTCTAGTCTAAAAAAAACTCATTTGTTGAAATGGGGGGGCCTATTGTTTGAACCCCTTAGGGGCTTTTAAAAACAAAAATGTCTTTTTTTGCGCTTTATGAAATGAAGTACCCTATATTTTGTGGATGTACAGCTACATTTCTCATGTAAGTTTGCGTAGTTTTAACACAAACATTTATTTTTCATATTGCACCAGGACAGGTAATGAGCAACCTGTACTTGTGTGCTTGTTTGTTCTGTCTAAAATGTTTATTTTGGAATAAAGAGGTTAATATAAAAAATATTTTTTGTCCGATTCATCGATTAATCGAAAAAATAATCGTCCGATTCATCGATTTTTAAAATAATCGTTAGTTGCAGCCCTAGTTACATGGTAAGGGAGTCGTAGGGAGACGTTTCTGCTTGTCTTCCTCAGACCAATGCTGGATCAGAGCGTTCTGAGGAGATTAGCTTCTGGGAGGCAACCAGGTCCACGTGTCGACATCCAGCTGTAATGACTTTATCTAAATCAGTGATTAATTAGGCTGCAGACTCACCAGGTTATTCATTTAGCATATTTTTCTGCTGCCTCTTGATCAGGCTCATAGTTATTTAAACTCTAAATTCATTTAACGTGTAGTTAAATATAGCTGCAGGTATTATTGCATCATTGTGTGAAATCACTTGTGATGCAGCAATCAGAGCCTTACTTTACTGTTGAGTCAGTAAAGGGTGAAAACCAATTGGTAGAAGAAACATGATCCAGTGGATCCTCTCAGGTTTCAGCTTCAATATCTTTGATTCCTTTGTTTGTGGTTCAGTTCTGCCGCCTGCATCCTTCACGCTTCAAAGAACCACAAAGCCTTCTTACTGCTCAATCAATATAATCCCCATCAGGTTATTGAGATACTCTTTAGATAAACTCATTTTAATGCTGCTTTGCATTATGAGGACTATAAGAAACCGATTCAGGCAGCTTGGCCACTCCTGGTTGCTCTGTCCTTGTTTCACACTCACCCATATTAATTAAATCGCACCGATCTTTAATTGTCCAAGGATTTTGTTTCCTGATCTGTTTGTTGTAGGAATTAGTAGTTATGAAACATTTTTAATTCCTCAAAGTCTGTAAAACTACAAGTTTGGGATTTTCTAAGCCCTGTTTCTCCCATGATGTTAAAAAGTTAATTTGCGTTTCTTTTTAGAGGATTTCTTTAGCAATTCTTGGCTGCATACTGTTAATCTGAAGGTTCGATAACAAACAGGAGCCCAGATATTTCATCTGTCTGCTCATCGCAACTATGGTTTTTAGGCTGGGATCTATTCAAATTGTGGAAAAGTGGGAAATGGTGACATGAAAAGCTGTGGAAAAAACTGAGAATCCTGCTCTTCTTGCTTCATTTGCAGGTAGCAAATCCAAAGCCCTTACTCCACAGTGGGATATTATGGCCAAGCGTGTTAGCGACGCGGGGCGGCCGTCGGCGCCACTGCAGGACGAGATACACGAACTGGACTGAACCTTCTGGGAGAACAACCTCTTCTGTAAACACCGCTGAGGTGAGACTTTCTGTTCCGCTGCTGCATCGCTTTGAACAAGAGCTTTGATTCATTTCTTAGTTTATCTTGTTGTTAGTGGGGTTACTAAAAATAGTTTCAAGGGTATGTTTTTTCACTATTTTCTGTGCTTAGGATTTAGTGCTAATAAAAACCTTGAGCTGTTTGTTCAGAGAATGTGAATATTTCAATGTTTTATTTTAAATAAATGATTTAAGAGCAGGCAAAACCCTTCAGAAGCTACAAATGCTCCCCGTTACAGAAGCCTAGTTTTCAGAGTGCTGTGTATAAAGATGTTAATAAAAAGTTGAGTGGATGGAAAAATAGTGGTTAAAAAATAAAATGCAACCGACAAAATGACAGAGAAGATTTTGGCAGCAAATTTCCTCTGTTGAGCAAGTCCTGAACCACAGACCGTTTCCAAACCATCTTCCTGGGGCTAAAGATAAAAGAACAGTACACTGCTATGCTGAAATTAGACCTTTTGAGCCTCATTTCGTGCAGTGGCTGGTCAAAGTTATGCTGAAATGAAGCCAATAAGCTGTTTTTTAATGAGCATAAGAACTTAAACCAAACATAGGACATAGGAACTAAAATTTCTTTTTGTATACACTTGTGTGTACAAAATGCCAAAATAAAATCTGTCTAACTTCAGAACCTGTGGTTTTAAACACATTTACATCCTTATCTTCACATAAACATGAGAAACCTGTCTGTTTGAACACCTTGAGTTAGTGCTATGAAAACATTGACTGTCTGCCCACCCTGCACCCTTCAGACTCTGTCATAGACTCAGAAAGCAGACAGAGCAGAATTCCTGATTTGGACAGATGACTGAACAGCTGGTTGGATCCATCCTGACTACTGGTGGATCAGAGTGACCTGTCACTGGGTCAGTTTGATTAGGGGGACATATGAACGTTGCCTCAAAATATGGAGAAAAGATATAAAGGAATACTATTGTGCTCATTTCACTAATAGACAAAAAGAATATATATGGGTGCAGCAGAGAAGATTGTATAAATTGTTTTTGCATTTAGAACACCGCCTTAGGAGCCTGACGTAGTCCTACTCAATTCTAGTCAGAATATGAGTCTGATGCTGCTCCATAGAGCTGTGATTATGGGGCGTGTTTCGAATGAACCAGGAAAAAAAATGCCTCTGCACTCAATTGGATAGACCTACAACCAATAAGAGCAACGGAGTGCGTGACGTATGTTAAGCGACGCATAGTTGTTGTCAACAAAAATCAAAGCGTGCAGTTGCACGCCTAGAATAAGAAGATGAGCCTTGATCGCGTTTCTCTGTTCCTCTTTTAAAATTAATTTGCTGTCGATATCTTCTAGAACAGACCTAATAGCAGAATCTACTCACCCCAACTCTCCAGCGGCAGCCATTGTTGTTGTTTGAGAGGTTTCCCTGCTTTAGCACAGCTGATTATGATGATTGCAGCTTAGCAATAGCCTGTTAATCAGCTTTCAATTAAAATCAGCTGTACTGGAGCAAGGAAACCTCTAAAACCTGCAGGACAGCGGCTCTCAAGGACCAACTTTGTGGATACCAGCTGTAGAGCTAGCAGCCACAAAGGGGTGCACGCTTAAACATAGCCGTTTTAAAACTGTATGTTACTTGCATAACTCTGGTTCTCAGAGTAGCATAAGTGAGATGTCTCACTATGGAAGACGCCCCTTGCCTTAGGAATTGGGCTAGAGGCGTATCCCATAGTGAGACTTCAAAACAAAAGCTGTGAATAAGAACTAATGTTCAGCCTCTAACCTCCAAATGATCACAAAGCTGATTTTTTTTATCAGCTGAACATTTCCTTTATAAATTGCAGCAGTGATCAAAATGTAAAGAGTGTAGGAGAGACGGTGCAAAAGGCATTGATGTGGAAGGTTCAGAGCAGTGTAAAAAATAAATAAATAAGTGTGGTGCAAAATGCAGTAGAACACAGAGTTTAGTTCTATTTAAAAAGATTTGAAAATTAGATTAGAGTTTTCAACAGTTTAACAGTCTTATGGCAGCGGGGGAAAAGCTGTTGCAGGACCTGGTGGACCTGTAGCGGATGCTGCAAAGCCTCTTTCCTTAGGGTGGCAGGGAGAACAGTCTGTGGTGGTGGGGGGGTGAGAGATCACTGGATGAAATGTCTTTAATGGAGGAAAGAAGAGCTCCAATGATCCTCTCTGCTGTTCTCACCACTCTTAAGGAAATTATTCAGTCAGGGAGGAGTAATGCCATCCAAAACTATTCAATAATAAAATATGAACTGCATGTTTTAAACCATGACCGGTTTTGGTATTGGGTACAATTCTGCACTGATGTTACTTTTTATCCAGGTTGTCTCTGCTGGTTATCTTTTCCTGTAATTTGTTTGTGGTAGAAAATGGGATTTTATGTTTAGGTAACAGGCTTTTCCAGTTATCAGAGAAGAGCTCAGGAACAGCACTCTCTGGTGGCCAGGAGGAGGCGGCAGCAACAAACTGCTGTTGTGTTGATTAGATTTTTCTTAAGTGTATAAAATGAATACAATTGTAAATTTCTATTTTACTATGTAACCTGAGATTTAGCATTTAATTGCATTAAATTATCATTAAATTATATAGATATTCCTAAATATGTATGACTGATTGCCTTTTGCTGTAATATCTTGGTTAGTTTTTATTTATTTATTTATTTTTTTATATCGTACAAAAAAATCTTAGTTTAATGATATTTTATTTCATGTAAAAGCTCATGCAGTGGATGCAGGTTGGCTCTGCTGCCCTCTTGTGGCCAAAAGTCTCATTTTAAACAGTTTGATAGCACCTTAATGACTTTTTTCTTCTCGTCTTCTCCCAGCAGGGGGAGAAATGAAATGGAAAGGCTTTCCTTAAACCAGAAGTGTGAGCTGAGAGGAGACGACGGCATTGGTCACTTTTCATCAGTCAAATTGTGTCTCTTGCTGCTGGAGACCAGTGGACCGCTTTAGCAGTAGTCTCTATCTGAAGAAGAGCCCGACTGTACAGGACTGTGTTTATTACTTACATTACTCGTTATTACTGTCTTTGTAATTATTGTTATTGTTTTTTTTTGTTTGTTTTTTACCAACTATAACTCAGTTTGTTTGTCGAAACAAGCGATGGAGACTTGTAGAGTATCTTGAAAAGTGCTTTAGGACCCCTGTGGAGAAGGGTGAAAGGAACGTAAACATGAGCCACTTGCATCTTATGGTTTTTTTTTTCATGTTTTTGAACAAATTCAAGTCAGAAAAGAGACGCACTTTGGTTTTAGCGACGTGGCTTTCGTTTCACGTAGTGTGAGTGCTTCACCTGGATTTTCTTCTGTTGGAGACGGGGCGGCACTTCCGCCAGAAGAGGTTTAACTTATGGAGAAAGACTTGATGGGTTTTTTCTACCTTTTTCAGCGAGTAATACATCTCTTTGCTTCATTAATGTTATTAAAAATAATGGATTTTTTTTAATCTGTCTTTGTCTTTTCCGTCCATGGAGGTGATGCGTTAAACTTTGCACCAAACACTGCTGTTCCAGGATGTGGCCAGCATGTTTATTTTTTCCTACTCCACACCGGTATGCAAGCAGGGTATATGCAAATTAACAGCGACTCTTCATTCCTAATGGCTTTCTATGTTTGTCAGTATTGGAGCAGATTTAAAGCTCGAGCCGTTCTTTGTTTTGTAAGCAAACACCTGAAATGAACTAAAAAGCAGGAATGCAACCTGCTTTTATGTCAAACCCTTTGTCAGTGTGTTTATTTTTTAATGTTCATAGAAAACATCACCAGCAATTAGCTTTTTTAAAGATGTTTTAAAACCACTCATGAAACATGTTTGCAGGTTAACACACAATTTTTAGGGCTATCAAAAATATAAATCATTGTGGAAACAACCTTGTCCTTAGAATATGGGTATTTTCTTTATTCTTTAGAAGTTTCCTGAGAGCTGTTTAAAATGGAGCCATCCAAACTTTGACACATTGTCCTAAAATTGTCCAAAAAACCAACAACAAATTGACCTCAACCTATTAAAAACATTTTGTTAAAAAAATGTTTTAAATCCATAATCTTCACCTATTTAACAGTACAATAAAAAAAAAAAAATCAGTGTTCAATTTTATATTTTACTTTAGAGAAGTCGTTCCTAAATCATTCTCAGTCTCTAAAAATGATCAATGGATCAATGGGCTGAATAGTTCTGCAATGTAAAGGTTGTGGGTTCCATTCCAGCCATTGAATTTGAATGGGAAGATGTGTCTATTAATTAAATAAATACACGTAGAAAAGCTCTAGATATAGTATTTAATGTATTCATCTGTGCTTTTAAAAAAAAAAAAACCGACATACAATGTCTTAAAGCGTCAGTCGTTTTATATTTCTAAAGAGGAGAATGTATGTTGTTTGTATTCTACAAACTAATAGAGATATGGTCACAGAGTTTATTTAACCAGGCTAATTAAATGGGTGTGTCCAGTTTCCCTCAGAATCAAACCTTGGATATCTGTAGTCTTTTTCCTCTTAAAAAAGATGGCTCCTTGCCAGCATTTTGAAGGCTTCTTGCTTAGAGTCAGATCCTTTATGTGTCTCATTGTGATGCGCTTCTGGTGTAAAAAAACAACAAAAGTCACTCAATTGTTTGCAAGTCAAACTTCCCACCTCTGCACTCCACCTACAATGACATGTCAGGCAAAACGAGCATTAAGACCACTGCTGTAACTTTGGAAGAGCTAAACCTGGGGCCACACTAAGCTACTTTTTGCTCCAAATGGATTAATAATTAAATTCTTATAATTATTCCCAAAGGCAAATTAAGCTAGTGAGATAGTATTTCCACCTATAAGTATTTTTATTATTTTTTATTTAATTGCTCAAACAAGCATAAAACAAAAAGTCTCTTAAGCTGAAGCCAAAATGAAAAGGCTTTTAAAAAGCCAACAAACAGCCTCTAAGACAGAGATTCAATCTCAACAAATACATGAATAGAACAAAGAATACAGAAAACACTTTTCAAAGCATATTCACTCTTGAGTGAAATTTTTTAACATATTTAAATGGAATTGCATGGTTAAATCTAACAGAAGTATGTTTGGTCTGAATCTTAAGAATAGCCTCTTAGCTCCCCCTACTGGAGAATTGCAGCACTGTTACCATTTTGTTTTTTTTATGCCCTAGTGGCCTTCATTTTTCAACCATGGACGGAAGGGGAACAGATGCAGCAAAGGGACTGAATTAAATTTTTACCTCTTATCTGAATTTTTTAAAATGCACTTTTATTAACTTTTTATTTCTAAATTGATTAGAATCCCTATTGGATTAGCTGCTGGCTGATCAGTGACATTTAGGTTCCTACTCAAAGAGTTTGCATTAATCTTATATTTTCTCCTTCATGCTTTTGTTGGGCAGCTCATACTTTAGGCTAACTTCGTTTTTTAAATTTTTTTTGCTGTCTTTTCATCATTAAACCTTTTGAATATTTCTCACACTCTTAAGTCATTTCAGACGCATCTATCTAGCAGGTTTCCTGTGTGTTTGCAGCCTTCAAAAAGTTCAGAACTTGTCCAGGCCCTCATCTTTTGGTGACTTTTTTTGGTTCTTGGCTCAGGAACTTCTATTTTGGGCTTGTTTTGATCTCTATCAAATCCCTGGTCTGATGTTTCTGTTTGCGAGAAACTTAATATTTATAGTACCTGCTGGAGATGACTGGTACTTAACCATGGAGACATGATCCGCTCCAGTCTGCTCCCGTCTACGATAAAATCGATTCTAAAAGCCGACTTAATGACTTTCAGAGAGCTCTTTATTTGTCATCCAGCCTTTATATACCCAGGCACCTAGATTATATCACCATAAACTATTTTTCTGTTTTGGAAGGCTGCTCAAAATAGATGTCAGTGTAACAGTTGCATCATATATTACATTAATGCAGTAATTGAACACTATGCATATTTTATCAAACTGGGAGCATTAGACTGTGCTCTGCAGAAATCAATGCTTTATCACCAATATAATACTTGGTCAACGGGCATAGAGGGAGCTTAGTTGAAAGACGTAAACTTTGATATTGAATATGGTGAGAAAAACCATAGACTCCATATTCAGCTCTGTTATAACAGACTTTGTTGTTTTCATCAAATGAAAGATGCTGAAAATAATACTGTGTACTTCTCCGCTCTATAGATGCATTAGTTTTAATACAGACTATTGATCTGAAATGTTTACACTTGTTTGTTTGGGATACTGTTAAGTTCTGTTTTATTGTTTATAAATCAACACTAAATTTTTAAATGGTAAGATTGCCAAGTTTAGTTTATTTTGAACATACTCATAAAAGGCAGAAAGAGGAAGAAAAGTTTCCAATAAGGCAGATACATAATTAGAAAAGGAGTGGTTAGAAGTGTGACCTTTCCTGTTCTTTAAAGCACTTTCAATATTTATATTACGGTATGTGCAACACTTGGTATATAAATGCATTAATTAGTAACCGATATATGAAAAATTTTCTTAAACCTATAAGGTATATATATATATATATATATATATATATATATATATATATATATATATACTACCGTTCAAAAGTTTGGGGTCACAGAAAACAATTTTGTGTTTTCCTGAAAAGTCACTTATTCACCACCATATGTTGTGAAATGAATAAAAAATAGGGTCAAGACATTGACAAGGTTAGAAATAATGATTTGTATTTGAAATATTTTTTTTTTTTTACATCAAACTTTGCTTTCGTCAAAGAATCCTCCATTTGCACCAATTGCAGCATTGCAGACCTTTGGCATTCTAGCTGTTAATTTGTTGAGGAGGTAATCTGGAGAAATTGCACCCCACGCTTCCAGAAGCAGCTCCCACAAGTTGGATTGGATGGATGGGCACTTCCTGCGTACCGTACGGTCAAGCTGCTCCCACAACAGCTCAATGGGGTTCAGATCTGGTGACTGCGCTGGCCACTCCATTACCCATAGAATACCAGCTGCCTGCTTCTGCTCTAAATAGTTCTTGCACAATTTGGAGGTGTGTTTAGGGTCATTGTCCTGTTGTAGGATGAAATTGGCTCCAATCAAGCGCTGTCCACTGGGTATGGCATGGCGTTGCAAAATGGAGTGATAGCCTCCCTTATTCAGAATCCCTTTTACCCTGTACAAATCTCCCACCTTACCAGCACCGAAGCAACCCCAGACCATCACATTACCTCCACCATGCTTAACAGATGGCGTCAGGTATTCTTCCTGCATCTTTTCATTTGTTCTGCGTCTCACAAACGTTCTTCTTTGTGATCCAAACACCTCAAACCTGGATTCATCCGTCCACAACATGTTTTTCCAGTCTTCCTCTGTCCAATGTCTGTGTTCTTTTGCCCATCTTAATCTTTTTCTTTTATTGGCCAGTATCAGATATCTCCTTTTCTTTGCCAGTCTGCCCTGAAGCCCAGAATCCCGCAGCCGCCTCTTCACTGTAGATGTTGACACTGGTGTTTTGCGGGTACTATTTGATGAAGATGCCAGTTGGGGACCTGTGAGGCGTCTGTTTCTCAAATTAGAGACTCTAGAGACTCTAATGTACTTAGACCCCACAAATGGGATTCTCCAGAAACTCAATCTGATCAAAGGAAGGTCAGTTTTGTAGCTTCTGTAACGAGCTAAACTGTTTTCAGATGTGTGAACATGAGTGCACAAGGGTTTTCTAATCATCAATTAGCCTTCTGAGCCAATGAGCAAACACATTGTACCAGTAGAACACTGGAGTGATAGTTGTTGGAAATGGGCCTCTAGACACCTATGTAGATGTTGCACCAAAAACCAGACATTTGCAGCTAGAATAGTCATTTACCACATTAGCAATGTATAGAGTGTGTTTATTTAAAGTTAAGACTAGTTTAAAGTTATCTTAATTGAAAAGTACAGTGCTTTTGCTTCAAAAATTAGGACATTTCAATGTGACCCCAAACTTTTGAACGGTAGTGTATAAAAAACAACAACTATTTTCTCACCCCTCGTGAGGTGGTATGTGTCATCCTCAAGCTCAGAGGCCTGGGAGTTTGAGGGTTCTGCGCAGTATCTTAGCTGTTCCTAGGACTGCGCTCTTCTGGACAGAGACCTCTGATGTTTTACCTGGAATCTGCTGTAGCCACTCTAACAGTTTGGGGGTCACAGCCCCCAGTGCTCCAATTACCACTGGCACCACTGCTGCTCTCACTTTCCACATCTTTTCTAGCTCCTCCTTCAGTCCTTGGTATTTCTCAAGCTTCTCGTGTTCTTTCTTCTTGATGTTGCTGTCGCTTGGGATTGCCACATCTATCACTACTGCCTTCTTCTGCTGTTTGTCGATCAACACGATGTCTGGTTGGTTAGCCATCACCTGTGTGTGTGTGTGTGTGTGTATATATATATATATATACACAGTTATTATTTTTATTATTATTATTTTAAACAGTTGAAAATTTTTTCAGTGACTCTTTTAAGTTATTCCATATTTTTTCACCACAGATGGACAAAGACTTTTTTTTTTGGTGGTTTGAAAAATATTGTTGCAAATTTTGAAGCCATCCTCAGTGAATATCACCCCTCCTGCTGCAGGAAAGGTTTCTGGCTCGTAAAAGACAGTTTTTTAATAAAGCAGCAGTGTTGTCTTAAATTTAAATTGATCTTTTAGTTTAGGCAATTTTGACGGATAAGAGAGAAGGAGTGTAATCTCTATATCCTATATTGTGGATGACTTTCTCCTTTTTCGT